TCGAAAGTAGAGATTTTAAGCTTTAAAATCTTTTTTTTAAATTTAAATATGGTTTATTTTTAACGAAGTTACAGCTGTTTGAATTTTGAAATTTGTACGAACTTTACCCAATACAAGATAATTATTGGATAAACCACGATACTTTTAAATAACGATATTGGAAAGTATAATTGATTTTCCTACAAGTAAATTACATAGCATGCTTTCAATATAAAAAAATGCCACGTTAGTCGATAATGTATCTTATGCTGAAATAATGTTCTTGTATTACTATAATAATTCTTCCAAATTACCATAACGTGTAATTGAATCATAATTATGTCATTATCAAAATAATGACAATTATCGCATATCATGTATCTTTTTTTTAATTTATAATAATTAAAATTTTTTATTTGTGTAGGATTATTTATGTATATCATTAAATGATTCTCCTCTAATTTGAATAAAATGCTGAATTGAAAATAGAATGGCGCAGCTTGTACCTTTCCTGCAAGATCTTTCAACGATCGGAAACCGGATGCGGTGAGAAGCTCGAGACGAGGCGAAAGCTTAAAAGTACCGTCGACAGCCCTTAATAACCGTAACGACCTCTGGGACATAACAAAGCGGTCTAAGGGTGGCACAGCCAGGATAAGGTTGTGGGGACTTTGAGGGGATGTCCACCCCTGGACAGCATCACCCTTCCACGTGCCTCCTTGAAACCAAGTTTTCCGTAACTCCCTCATCTAGCTTGATTTTCGCGTTCGCCGAGAATCACGAATAAAAAATGTATTCCAATAAGTGACTGACACGCGACAGAGCAATAATTAATGGAAGCTTCACATGTATGCCCGAGAATACTTACTCCTAACTACTTACTTCTATTAATCTCAATAACAGTGTTAAACGAAAAAGAGCTAAGCTATACTTGTCTTATTCAAACTATTACATCTCTTTTAATTGAACATTATTGACAAATTTTGAGTTTGTATCTTTAACATCAAAATTTCAAAAAAGGCTTTTGAAACAACTTTAGCCTATGACATAGCAATTCATCGGTCGGATAATAAACTAACTTTGCAAAAATTTTAAAGTTTATTCAGTCACGGAAATAATATATAGCTTGAATTTTTAGTTCAATTAACACGATATTATGAGAAATCCTCTATATTGAAATTATCCACGAATATATTGTATTTAATATATTCAAATGAATAAAATATTTATAAATATAGAGAATATAAACATATTTTATGATGAAACGATAATGAAATTATTATGTATCGAAATGATTATTTCTTTCTCTCGCATACTATTTGCAGACTATTTGAATGCTTTGTCAATGTTATCGGTAAGTCTTCGGGCAATGTAAAAAGACGATAAAGAAATAATAGAGATTTATCTACCTTCAATATCCGTGGCGGTCCATGATTGCATCCAAGTGTTGTTAGTTTATATTGAAGGAGGTGCGAGAGTTTTTTACATGTACGGACTGATCTTTATTTGTGAGATGTTACAGAACACGACTTACCGTTACATGCTCTTATTCAAGAACATTTTCTAAGTTCGAAACTCTGGACTAACAATAAGTAAGGTACTCACAACTATAAATTAGTTACGTTAGGTAACTTAAAGTAACTCACAGAATAATAATGGAAAATATAATACGTTTATTTATTGTTAGATGGGCATGACATATAATTCTCGTTAAACTGCTTAACTCAATAATATTTGTATGGCATTTTGCTAGAAATTGTAAATACAATTTATTGTTAGTATTTCTTAATAACAACTCAGAATAGGATGGAGAAAATATTTTTTAATAGGATATGTTTCTTTCAGATTAAAACTAGATCACACAAGTCAAATTTAATCTGAACGCAAATTAGAACTATAAAATGAGTGTTGGAATAGGGGCAATCACATGAATATTTTATTAGTCATTTATATTGATCATCGTGTATATTATATACCGATCGATTATTTATGACGAATATCTAAATCGCTTTTATAAATCTTATCTATGAATTATAATCTATACAAAAAATAAAAGTCATGACGTTAAATGATGTCTTCAAACTTTAATTTCCAAAGAAATCATTAGGATAGTATTCTCAGAAAATTATGTGTGTACTCGTATATTTCTTAGAAAGAACATTATGTATATATTTCTTAGAAATAAACGCGCGAAAAAGAACATCACTGACATATATCCAATATATATTATTAAAGTGCAATAAGAAGAAAAAACTTCTTGATAAATTCCTTTCCATTTTCCTTTGACCAAACATACGGCAGATCTCAGATATATTTGATTCGCAATCGACAGACGCAATAGAGAAAAGGCTACGCGTGCACGGAGAAGATAAATCTAAAAGACCAGAAGCATGGAACGCTGATACACGCGCCATCGATTATTTCGACCAGTTACTTCGAGGGCAAACGAGGCTATCCCAAAAGCCTAGAGCACACTTGATAGATTTCCTTTATTTGTATTTAAGCCCGATTGACTTTAACATAGAAAATTATGTGGCAGAATGTTAAGTTTTTTTTGCGTTGAACAGTGATTCCGATCTTGCAGAATCCAAGGATTCGTCATTGCTTGACGCGAGTCACCTGTATCTTTCAACTATGTCTTTCGACGTAGAAGATTGCTTGTTCGGCACTGAGCTGTCTGCTCACCGCAGCGTGATCCTCTGGAAGGAGTAGTCGTTGCCGAACTGGCGAAGACAGGCACGTATACGTATGTCGCACGACGGACGGCTGGAATCCATCCGGATGACACCCGTTATATGTGCATTCGTAACGTGGAGTTGTGGAGTCGGTCCGATATCGAGCGGGAGGCCCGGCGAGGGGTGCTCACACGTGCGCAGGCTCCCACCTCCACGACCTACCACCTCCGTCGTGGATACGCGTTGGGGGAGGAACGCGCGCGGGTGTCGCGACAAGTGGAAGAGAGAGGAACTCAGGGCGGCGAGCCGTCGCAAAATGAGATGGACGACATTCGAGGAGCGATTTCGACGGGGTTGGAGTTGGGTGGGCCGCCACGGATGTCGGGTGGTGCAAAAGAGCGACGCACGGGGTAACGCGGCCGGTGCGGAGCGAGGAAGCTTCCCCCTGCACGGGAAAGAGAGAACGGAGGATCTATCTCTCGCGAAGAGGGAGATAAACGATGTCAGGGATGAAGAGAGGGAAAAGGAACGGAAGTAAACGAGAGGAAAACATAGGGTGGAGAACGCCGGACGGCGAATGAAGGAGGAAGGTAATATAGAGAGGGGTTTCTCTGTTCGCGAAAGACTGGGTACCTCAATGGAAAAGAAAGCGATACTGGTAAAAAAAGAGGATAAAGAGTCATGGACAATCGCTAGTGCGACAAAGATAAATACAAGGCGCTATAAGACTGACACCAAACGAAAAAGGAGCAAGAGAGAAAGAGGTTCTGCTATCATAAAGAGGATCGAAAGAGGAATCGGCAGCAAATGAGAATGAAAGACAATCGAAAGAGCGAAAGAGAAGTCTTAGTGGAGAATAGAGAAGACCGAAGGTAGGAACACGGTGGGAGAAAGAGATAGAAGGAGGGAGTGCGACGTCGGTGGACGCAAAAGAGGGGTAGAGAGTAAAGTGAGAGAGAGGAACGAAACGGAACAGGGTTGTTCCAGTGTGCAGCGGGCGGGCATCGCGGCGGGGGCGCCGTTCTGCTGCTCCTGTATATCCATCCAAGATTATATGCACCATCCACCGCATCCTAGCGACCACGACGGCGGCGGCGACGACGGCGACGGTGACGACGACGACGACGACGCCGACGCCGCCGGGAAGCAAAAGAATATTGGTCGCGTCGAATACCCGAGCCTGTTCGTAGTAGCGGCGTACATCAGCAGTAGTTGTAGTAGTAATAGTAACCGTAGTACACGTCGCGGACTAATCCTGTCAGTCTGCACATCGTGAACATCCAGTGAAAAAGCTCGCCGAGATATAGCAACGAGAAAGAGGAGGACGCAGTGTGAGAAACGGAGAGAAGGAAAACGAGCTGGTGGAGGATCGACTACCGCGGTCACACGCAGGTAGGTCCATCCAGAGGGAGGCATCGGCAAGGAGCCGCTCCTCATCGCCGCTCCAGCATGACCCAGCCTTAGTACGGTTCTCCTGTCGTACACCCTCCGCGGCGCGACACGATACGACACGTAGAAGAAGGTGGTGGAGAGTCGGAGGTGGTGCTGGCGGCGGAGGGGGCCAGGGAGAGGGTGGAGGACGTCGAGGAGGACGGAGAAGAAGAAGAAGGTGGCGCGAAGGAGGAGGAGGAGGACGGAGGCCTCGCTAACGACGGCGAACATCGTCGAAGGTGCGAACCACCAACAGCAGCACCACCGCCGACGACGACGATGATCGTGACGGGCGGTGATCGGCGTACATGTTGGAGGCGGAGGCGCCGATTGGCGTTGATCACTCTGCTCTCCGCGATTTTAGCCTTCGCGATGGGACCCTCGTCGTCTTCGGGCCACAGACCGGCGCCGAACAATCCGATCACATTTCATACTATCACAAGTAGCACAGCCATGCCCGTCCTAATACGGCTGAGTAACGGTACCAGCGTGCAAGTGTACGATAGCAAAAACAATGGTGCGGGTCTTGACGGGCATAATAGGACTAACGATAACGATACAGACGTCAAGAGGCCGCTAGTGGTGTACATGTTCGTCGCGTTAGCAATCGTTTGCGACGAGTTCTTCGTACCGTCATTAGACGTGATTATCGAGAAGCTCGATATCGCGGACGATGTGGCCGGTGCTACTTTCATGGCGGCCGGTGGATCGGCGCCCGAACTCTTCACATCGATCATAGGCGTGTTCGTGTCGTTCGACGATGTCGGTATCGGCACTATCGTCGGCTCCGCCGTTTTCAATATCCTTTTCGTGATCGGCATGTGCGCTATATTCTCGCGTACGGTGCTATCGCTCACATGGTGGCCTCTATTTCGCGACTGCACTTTCTATAGCGCCAGTCTACTCACCCTGATCTACTTCTTCCGCGATAGTTATATATACTGGTATGAGGCACTTGTGCTATTTGGATTCTACTTGGGATATGTGAGCTTCATGAAGTGGAACCAACCAATGGAGAAAATGGTCAAAAGGGTACTCTACAGGAACAAGGTGACCCGGGTCAGGTCTACCGATCAGCTGATGCCCTCGGTATGTACGGAATGTATACGCGAACTGTTATACATTCGCGATCTAGGAAAACGTCTGACCCTGTCTTTGTCTACTTTTATACCGATCGATCAGTCTGTCTTGTTCTACGATTCTCTTTTCACTCTATCCTCTATGTCACGTCATTTCTTTCTATCCATCAACTCTTTCGTATAGATACATGTTACTGCCGTACCCCGCCGCCTCTCTGTCTACACGCGCTTTCCCTCTCCAGCTATCTACCTATCTATCTCCCTCTACTATATACCCTCGCCTATCTCTATACTTTCTCTTAGTTTTTTTCTTTTTCTCTCTCTCTTTCTTTCATCATCCCTTTCTATCCTTTTATGTACATGTACTTGCACAACTCACCCCTTTACTTCTTACGCTCTTTCTTACCGTGACTTTATATTTCATGGAGGAGCATAGCGTCGCGTGACTTCACCTACTCGCACGACTGCTCGTGGGCGGTGTTTTGTCTCGTGGACGGACATTGCCATGTTTACCTCCTTTCCTTGCAGTTTTTTCAATTTTACATTTCGAGATGGGATCAACCGATGAACCTTGAGCACAGTGTGGTCAAGAGACACGACCTTGACCAAATCGCGGAACTTGTATGACAAATGGATGATCAATCTGCGTCTGATTTATCCCCGATACCGAGTTTCTCTTTCGTATGTTCTATTTTACGGTTAATAAAGTGATAACTTGACGTGCCAAATTTAAAATTCACAAATGGTACGATAAATCTTAAATTACAGACTGCACATTTTTAATAACATTCTATAAGGATGCATGAGAAATATATTATAAATATTAGTCAGCTTTGCACAAACTTGGCACTTTACAAGCGCAACTTTTCGAGAAGAAATTAATATTTGAATAAAATTGATAGTCCCGAGCGCATTCTGAATGGTATCAATCATAGTTCAAGACACATGACCTGCTTATCTTTCCCATGTAGGCCAAGAGAGAGATATCGAGATATATCGATTGTTGCACTAACAGTTCTCTTAAAACACTTTTTCTTATTATAGAATTTTACACACGATTATAAACGCAATTTCTTTTACTTTACTTAATTTTGCAAAATATTTTATTTCTTTTATCTATAATCTAAACTACATATAATGTCAAATGATAGCGATACAAATGGTTCTTATTCAAATTATAAACATTAGATTATCGAAAGATTTATGTACGCTTCAGAAAAATAAAGTTTATTCGGAATCAACCTTCAACCGATTGGATTTTGATCATCTTTACGCGTGAATCTAGCGCGCTGACCAATGTTCATTCTGATAATGGTACCTCATACAGAGGAGCACAATTCATAAGCAGAGGAAGAATCGTACTCAAGGTCGTCAGAGACGTCATAAGCACTGTGAGCTTCTCTACGTTGAAGTTTCTTTGACCTGTCGCAAAAGAGTGCCTTACCGCGATATACAAAGGCGTAACAATACGCGCCCCCGGACTTTATACAAACGTAGAAACTTTACATTATAGGAAAACTAGCTGTTGTGACAACATTCAGTACTAGCGTAATAACTCGCATAGTGGACGTCAACGCGTATGTCACAGCGTGAGTTTTGTTATATTCTGAGTCGTTGATTGTGTTATCAAAATTATATGTGTTGTTTTTTTTTTCGTTTTAATCTCACGAGGTTATCAACTATTGATTGAGAATCGTTATGTAATCTTCAATTTATGCTGAAGACGAGACTTTATCAGATCGGCGTATTTCCAAGAGGTTGGTGTGTAAATGAATAGTCCTACGTTTTCGTAATGACTATTGGCGATCGATTCGTTCGCAAAACCGAATGATTGAGAACCTTTCAAGCCAATGCTTCGTGGACAGAGTGCGTTTTTGTGCCAATCGATTTTGAATCATGTATACGAAAAAGAAGCAGGCTGCTGAGTGAAGGAAAAATTCGTGATAGAAAGGATCTTTATGATAATGACGATTCCGAAAGAAAATCTTTGGTATAGGAAAAATGTGTTAAACTTCACTGATATAAATTATATAGCATTTTTCTGAATTAAATTAACAAAAGTACTGGACTTTCAGTATAAAATAATAACAAATAGAGAATTTAAAGGGCTAATGAGAATCAGATTAGAAAAGTTTTTTAAAAAATAACGAATAAATTACTTATTACAACCGTATAATTGCACAAAATTACAAATTTGTTGTATATATTCTTACGGATGAATTACTAATGAGATGAAATCGCACAACATGTTTCGGCTGCAAGATTAATTTTTCTGAATTGTAATAATGCATTGATAATTTTGAAATATGAAATGTGCCTCACATGCGTAACATTTTTTAATTCTAATATTCATAAAATTAAAGCTTTTCTTATATTTTAAAATCATGTATGAGGTTAATTTTATGTAAACTTTGAAAATTTTACACGAAGTAAAAAGAGATTTGTCTTTAATATTTGTGTGATGTAAAATGAAACTTTATGGATCTCTTCCTTTATAGTTATGAGACAATAAGAATTCAAGAGAAACTTTGCTCCTTTTAAAATATACTTTGAAAAATTTTTCTCTATTTCTTTGTTCAGAATATGGTACAGTTATAAAAAAGTTAGATATATTACTAAATAACAAGCGAGAAAAGTTTATATCACACATACCAATAAAAGTTAAATATATATTTGTACGCTAGAAAAACACGTGCATAATCAGAAGTTGTATTAGATTTTTGTTGCCAGTTTCCAACGAATTTCTGATGTTTGTTTCCTTTTGATTGATTTATGTTACTCAAAATTAATTCTACAATTTCCACATTATTTAATATAATTATTCTGTACATAAAAAATATCTGCGATAAAAATAGAAATGTTATTTATGGTATTTTAATAATCACACATTCATATTTGCGCGTATATAATATATATATATAAAAGACATGAAGCCCATTTAGAAGGACAAACGAGATGAATTGTAATTGTTATTCCCTCTAAAGAATTCATGTTACATTTTAAATGTTAAAATGCGCGTGCCGTCTGTATGAGATATCGGACTACATACGTAACTTTCATTGAGGTGATAAAAATATGTAAGGTGATGGTGTCTCAATTGTGGGATTATTTAAGATTAAAGTTATTTTCATTAATCTATGTAACGATCAAACATTTAAAATTTATTAATGTTAATATAAGCAGTAAATATTACATTTTTAAAGAGAAATTATTATTATGTATTGAATAAACTCCAAACTTTTGAAAAATGTTAAAAAATATTTAGGTATATATAAATCGTAATTGTGAATCGACAGATTATTTTGTGTAAAACTTCTTTAATGTAAAATTATTTACATTATAACATTGAAATTCATATTGTTTTAACATATATACACTCAGAGAAAAAAGTCGTATCAGTAACTATAAATTTGTAGTGAAATAACGCCTCACAACTATATACATATTATTAAATTCTAATAAGAATACTAGATTAAGTGAACTAAGAAAATATAGTACATTAACAATATAAACAATTTATAAATGGTTAATATTACTATATTTTCTTAGTTCACTTAATTTACTTATTGTTGTTATTAAAGCTTTATAATACATAGTTACAAATTTGTGTATGCATTTCTTATTTATTTTTGTCTTCCAAGTTTGAAACCAACGCTGCGCCTTTTATTGTAAGCGAGTGGTTTCCTTCTTAGGGAGAGGAGAAACTGAACTCCGCTACGTCCCTCTGGTGGCAAAGCCGCGTACTATTCGTACTGAGCGACCCTTTAAAAATTTTTGTCTAAACTAGAAAAATGTAATTGTTATATCTATTTGCATAAAGTCCAAGTAACTACTCAATGTAGTTGAGTCACTACTTCACTACCAATTAATAGTGCATACAATTTGTTACCGTGACTATATTTTTATAATATTCAGCACTACTTTAGTTTCTATTACTTTGTAAAACTAGTTACAGGTACTTCAATTGCAAAAGTTGCCAAATTTATAGTTGCTGGAACTATTTCGTTTTCTCTCAGTGTAATGTAACGGTATACTAAACACAATCTACTGTAAGAGTATCATAATTTCAAGGAATTATTAAAATAATCCGCTTTTTTTTTGTTAAATATTAGCAATGATTAAGAAAGTGATTTTATACAATATAATTACAAAAAATTCAAATACGCAAAAAAGTTTTCCATAACTTTATTAATATACGTATATCTATAAAACATTTAATTTTGCAAGTTTGACCCATACCTAATTAGGATTTGGCTCATAGTTGAAATCGTCACCTTAATGAATAATAAAATAACTTTGAAACGTCTAAGTTAAATTTAAAGTACCGGGAAAATGTCGCAGTCCGGAAATACCGTAATCCGCTTCTTCGAAGTTGAGACGCGAAATCTGTTTTACCTTTATTCGTCTCCCTCCGGTGTCGTTTGCGCTGACACTCGGGAAGGCTTAACTGAAATTTATCTTTTATTCCTACACATGGCAATGATCGTTTGTCATAGAAAATAAGAATACAAAACTTCTACGAAAGTAGTATTGACGCGACTTCGATCAATAGGACTGTTCCTTCTTAATTTTATAGATTCATATTATTTCCGCTCAGTGCCGCTATAATATTTCGAAGTACGGAAATATGCTGCTGTCAATCACGCGGAATGCTGAGAGTGCGAAGTATATCTCTCTTACTGACACTGACTGGTGATTATTAGAAGACCGCAGCTAGCGTGATAACTGCATAATTGCATCCGACTGACAAATGATTGAAGTATTTCCGAAATTGCCCGCAATAGATTTATTGTAATAGCACGCACACACACGCGCACACACACACACACACACACACACACACACACACAAAACAATACACACACACACGTAGTATTTTTGACGGCGCCTAAACAATCACAGTGTGGAAATATTTAAAACTAATCTTGATATCACACACATACATTGTTAAATCTACAGTATCAAATTTAACCTAACGTGAGTCGCCACTGCTCCTATTAAATATATCAT